TTTTACAACTTTCGTGCAAACTAAATTTAGACCGTGCAAACTAAATTTAGACCGTACAGTTTATACTGTTTTTCGAAATATAAGATATTCAAGCAAAAGTTCAAATGTTTTAAATACTGTTTTCTCAAAACAGAACATTTCGTGCTTTGAGGTAAGATGACCAAGACCAATTTGGTCAGTTAATGTGTTTTTTATGCATAGTGCTTCAGCAGTTGACATATATAGAGCTCAGCGGAAACATATAAATTATAGCATCTGACCAATGAGAATTTCGCGTCACGATTTGAGACGCAGATATTCAAATTCATTAGTCATCGATGCAGGCTCTCAATTCAGCTTGAGAGCCTGTTCGCAGGCTAATTTTTGGGTGGCATTTAATGTTATGCAGACAATTAAAACAATGTAAAAAGCAATTTTTCAAAATAAACTAACCATTTACAAAGCAAATTTACCATCATTCGTCCAAAAAATTATAAAAAGTCGCTGTTATGTGGACTTATCTCGCAGACTTCGGCTGAAAAGCCACCCAAAAATGGCGGCGTGAGAAAGGGTAATTCAATGCGTAATTAGCCCATTGCATAATTTATGCATGATACATAATTTAATTCGCTGGCGAAGATACACAGTCTTCGAGTACTCTAGTGTATAAAATTTTGATATTTTTGTTTTGCCGACTGAGAAAAGCTACAATGGTGGCAAAAAATATTGTGGACAGCGCGTGTGCAACAGTGGCGTGCTTTTTGAAATTGTCAATAGTCTGGTGTGCAAATGAAAATAGATGCTTTGCCCAATCATATTCTTTAGAAAACCAGCATTTTGCAGCTCCCCCCTCTCCCCTTTCAACGTTGAAACGTTATACATTGGTTAAGGTAAAACTTTGTGAAATACTAATTATGATCAAAATCAACATTGAACGGGGTGCGGGGTTTCCAAACATGCTAACGTGTGCATATGAACAGGGATAGCTTGCGTAGCGACGCGAAAGCTGTACCGGATAGGGCCTGTGTTTACATATGAAATGATGTAATTGATCACTTTCTGCATCGAAGCGTCGGTGCAGCGCTCCGCTCTTCCAAGTGGTGCGTGTTGTGCCAGATTGGTTTTTGCAACGCTCTCATTGTAATGTAAACACCAATCGGAGCAAATTTCGGTTCAATTCGTGATTCAAGATGGCGTCTAGCAAACAACAACTTGCTATTTACGGGTATAGCTTGCTATATTTTTGCTTTTGGTAAATATGCCGTACAAGAAAAGACGAAGGCATAGAAGGGCGAGGGCGGAAGCTGAATTTACATAATTAGGTCGTAACGTTTCACGAACGAAGCAAAAACCTATCCGGTATACGGTGTAAACGTAGCCTTAGTTTTCAATTCAGCTAAACAAATTATTGCTCACTATTGCAGCGGAGGTGTAGTGTGGGGTGGCTCGTGGGAGTTGTTGAACTGTCTTTCGTTAAAATTCCATGTCGATTTGGGTGGATCTGATGCTTTGAATTGAATTTCGGCTTAAGACAGTCAAAATATTTCATATTACTTATAGTAACTAATTGAAATCTTTCCCTCATTTAAAACAAACACTGTTAATCCAACTCCTTTTTACTGAAACAGGTACATTAGATCTATTCGCTAATGGTTTGAAATGGACCTCCTTGCACCTGCCCTCCGCATGCCGCAAAATAAATTGGAATGTCTTGCATTAGATCATGAATACGTTTTAAGCAAAAGTTACAATAGAATATACGTACTAGATTTCCTCGTTTTCGTGATATATAACGGTTTGCCACAGGAAATTAAATTACACAGTTGGAGAAGTAGCTATTTATGAAAATCCCCCTTATACAAGAATCGCAGAAAACAAAATTTATGCCATATGACAAGCAAATCCGCGTGACGCGCGATTATTCCGCGAGAATATGAACGAATGATATGAATTAAAAATTAATGTTACCCTGGTTCCAGAGGTTCTTTGCGAGGCGAATTGATAAATAATGCTATATAAATAATTAATAATGCTTAAATTATATAATTATACTAAAAGGCGTTGTCTCAATGGCAGACATGGCGCGAAGTGCATGCATTTTTACGAATATTTTTATACACTTTATAGAAGACGCACTAGGTGGTGGCTAATCCTCACAAAATACCCCTTATACAAGAATCGCAAAAACAAAAATTTATGCCATATGACAAGCAAATCCGCGTGACGCGCGATTATTCCGCCAGAATATGAACGAATGACATGAATTAAAAATTAATGTTATCCTGGTTCCAGAGGCTCTTTGCGAGGCGAAGGAAACGAAAGGCGAGAACGAAAAGCCTGGCCTCTGGTCACATCGGTTGCAAATCCCACTTCCACACTTGATTTGCAACCGATGTGACCGGAGACTTTTCCTTCTCGCCTCTCGTTTCTTTCGCCTCGCAAAGAACCTCTGGAACCAGGGTAACATTAATTTTTAATTCATGTCATTCGTTCACATTCTCGCGGAATGATCGCGCGTCACGCGGATTTGCTTGTCATATGGCATAAATTTTTGTTTTTGCGATTCTTGTATAAGGGGTATTTTGTGAGGATTAGCCACCACCTAGTGCGTCTTCTATAAAGTTTATAATAAATATTCGTAAAAATGCATGCACTTCGCGCCATGTCTGCCATTGAGACAACGCCTTTTAGTATAATTATATCATTTAAGCATTAATATTAATTATTTATATAGCATTATTTATCAATTCGCCTCGCAAAGAACCTCTGGAACCAGGGTAACATTAATTTTTAATTCATGTCATTCGTTCATATTCTCGCGGAATAATCGCGCGTCACGTGGATTTGCTTGTCATATGGCATAAATTTTTGTTTTTGCGATTCTTGTATAAGGGGGATTTTGTGAGGATTAGCCACCACCTATAGTACGTCTTCTATAAAGTTTATAATCAATATTCGTAAAAATGCATGCACTTCGCGCCATGTCTGCCATTGAGACACTGCCTTTTAGCATAATTATGTCATTTAAGCATTATTAATTATTAAAATCGACAGGTTTTGATATTTTCTGAAAGGTTGTCAATATCTGTAAATGCACAAACAACTAACAGGCCAAACACGCAAGCACCAGGCATGGCGATGATGAAAATGTTTCATCGTCAACATGCCCTGAACAAAATGTTTTTGTTTAAATTGCTCTGTTTTATCTTTATTTGGAGTTTTGATCGTCTTGGAATTTCTCCAGCGGAATGTAAGTGCCGACAAAAATTGTTCACGCAAGTCAAAGGTGGGTCAATATATTTTTTGTAACTTGTTCAATTATACGGTTGAATAAATGTGAAAAAATGGCACTTGAAAACGCCACGTATGTATAATCATTACTCATTAGCCGAATTCATATTATAGGGACGGGAAACTCGTCTTAGACGGGGAAACTCGTCTAATATGAATCCGGGGGCAGACGAGTTTCCCGTCCGAACTTTCCCGTAACTTACCCGTCCAAACAGACGGGAAAGTTAGACGGGAATCCCATCAGACGGGTTTTGACAGACGAGTTTCCCGTCCCTAATATGAATTCGGCTATTGTTTAACAAAAAATAAATCCGATGCTGCATAACTCTCCATGTCACTTCCGAACCGCTATAGAGGTCCAAGACTCCAAGTTGTCCACTATATTATTAGAAACTCGTACAAGCCTGCGCTGTTCTTTCCAATCAAACAACAGAATTTCTTTTTTCATGCTGCTGAGGCAATGGCAACGCCTTTAACACTTTTTTTTTCAAAATCCTTATAAGTATATAATATTGATCTTAGTTGAAAACAGTATGTAAATAGTATGTTCATACCTATTGCAATTTCCATACAATAGATATGGAAAAATATTATGGTTATATATACCATGGATTTAGTGCCGGATACAATCGCAATTTCCATAGTAAGAAATATGACCATTGTATCGCATTATATCAAAATACTCAATGGTTAGCTACCGCAAAAATTAATACGCACACAATGGACCTATATTACCTAATGAACAAAATTTTGATCTAGACTAGTCTAGACAAAAATTTCATCACAGCTTGAAAGAGCATCACAAAATTAGTAATATTCCGAAGTTTCGTTGCGAAATGTTGTAAAATGCAGGTAATATAGCCCTGCGAAGTTTGCCGTTTTTCAGTCATTTTGTATTACGCACGGAAAATTGATACCTTTTTCAGAAAGCGGTATCAATTTCCCGTGCGTACAAAATGACTGAAAAACGGCAAACTTCGCAGGGCATATAATATTATCCGCATTTTACAACATTTCGCAACGAAACTTCGGAATATTACTAATTTTGTGATGCTCTTTCAAGCTGTGATGAAATTTTTGTCTAGATCAAAATTTTGTTCATTAGGGAATAGGTCCATTAGACCTCTTGTTTCCAGCTTTGTTACCCCTGACAACCATGAATCTACGTACTGTAGCGCCACACAAAAGTTGAGATTCGGGATCCAATTCTTTGAATTGGGTGGCAATAAATTGTAAACAAATGTAAACAAAACGTTGTAAACAAATGTCGTTTAATTTATCTGTTAAAATTTAATAATATTCAGTAATCATACAGAATTTTTTAGTGACGTTCTATTTCAGTGCCCTGCCTATACGCTTGATGAGTGATTTTCTTACTTAATAGCTATACAAAAGCATTTGTTCTTTCTTTCACCGCGCTATTTTTAATTTACAACGGTCGACTTTTGTGAAAAAATCAACTTTTTAAGAAAACGGACGAGAATTTAACACTCATCTTCTTGGGCCACCATTTTCAAAATGTGCAGACTGTAGCTTAAATTATTTTATGCTTTATTATATTCTTTGTATAGGATGCTGTTACTCAACAGACGTTTTGTCCACACATCACGTCGAGTCATTGACACATTGTGCAGGTCACCTGAGCCTCAAATTGGAAACATATGTTGGATATAAATATCGCTCCACCAATGACAATCTACCAAACTGCGAACGTTTAAAAAAAATGGAAAACTGTTCGGAATGTGCCGCAACCAGCAGCAAAAATGGAGGTTGGAAGTTCTACAAGGCGGTTCCCACTACGCAAGTAAGTACACCCATGCATATTATGGAGTATAGAACTAATAGACAATCCCCATTATAGACTAATTTTAAAACTAGCCAAAGAGATACAAATAAATCACTACAGCTAGAGAGAGCATACTAAAATTAGTAAAATTGCAAAGTTTGGTTGCGAAAAGTTGTAAAATGCGGAAAATATAGCCTTGCAAAGTTCGCAAATTTTGTATACTTTTTTTGTATTGCGTGCAGAAATTCCTACCATTTTCGGCCCAAATGTGGTAGGAATTTCCGCACCAATACAAAAGTATACAAAATTTGCAAGGCTGTATTTTCCGCATGTTACAACATTTCGCAACCAAACTTTGCAATTTTACTAATTTTAGTATGCTCTTTCTAGCTGTAGTGATTAATTTGCATCTCGCTGCATAGTTGTAAAATTAGTCTATAATGGGAATTGTCTATTGTTGAAGGGATTTTGGAACTGATTTTGAGTGGAATTTTTATATGTGTTAGACCTATAACCAGGAATCGAACCTCGGCCCCGCGATTCTGCAGGTGCAGCGCCCTAACACACTGAGCTAAAGAGTCCAGTGGTCGAGCGCTAACCACAAGCTCATGTATAAATACCAAGGCGATGTCAATATCAGGTGTATGGGTAAATATTTATCAGGCCGATTTTGGGAATTTCGGTTAAATTTGGATGAAAATGAGAAATTAGGCAAAGTTTGTTATGCTTTGTTGGGCAAAGTAAATTGAATGCGTATAATTATAAATGGACTTATTCCCTAATAAACAAAATTTTGATCTAGACAAAAATTTCATAACAGCTTGAAAGAGCATCACGAAATTAGTAATATTCCGAAGTTTCGTTGCGAAATGCTGTAAAATGCGGATAATATAGCCCTGCGAAGTTTGCCGTTTTTCAGTCATTTTGTATTACGCGCGGGAAATTGATACCTTTTTTCAGAAAGCGGTATCAATTTCCCGTGCGTAATACAAAATGACTGAAAAACGGCAAACTTTGCAGGGCTATATATCATCCGCATTTTACAACATTTCGCGATGAAACGTCGGAATATTATTAATTTTGTGATGCTCTTTCAAGCTGTGATGAATTGTCTAGACTTGTCTAGATCAAAATTTTGTTCATTAGGGAATAGGTCCATTAGCTCATTGTATAATTTATTCATGATACAGAACTTAATTACGCTGCGGGAGGTACAAGTCTCCGGTGTCCTCTAGTCTCCTATGATAAAGATAGGTTTGTGATTGGACTGAAGTCAAAGAGAAACATATTCCGATATTCGTGCACGCAAAATGAGGATATAACCTACATAATGCGCCTGCCATGCTAGAACAGACAAGCACGGAAGCGAGGCCATTGGGGCAGAGGCCGCGGAAGCATTTCGAAAGTGGAGGGGCATTGGCCAAAAGGGTCACTTTTGTGTATGACCAATATCAAACGATTTTATGTCGTTCACGAGCCAAACGAAAGTTTTTGAAAATATGGAGTCTCTATATAACCGTCGGAAATGGCCTTTACAAAGCGAGTTTACTACCGCAAAAAGGGCACTTTCTTTCCAGCAAAAGAGGGCGTTCATTCAAGAAATACTTTTTTCGTTTTATATGGGGCACTTTAGCCCAGAAAAATAGGGCACTTTTTTCACTTTTAGAAAAAGTGGGGGGCACATGCCCCAATTGCCCCCCATCCTGGTTCCGCGGCCCCTGCATTGGGGAAAAAGTGCAATAGAACTTTGTACTATTTCATCAATTTATTTTTTTATAATGTTTAATGCCATATTTCATTGCAGAGATTATTATGCTCTAAAAACCACTCTTGCAAGAACGGAGGAACTTGTGTTGCAAATCCATGCGATAAAGAGAATGGCTTTGATTGTATTTGTAAGGAAAACTTCTCTGGCAAATTTTGTCAAAACGTTACAGGTAAACGGTTACATGTATGAAAATTCGATCGATATTTAATAATTCGATTCACGGGCTACACCAACCTCGTTCCCAGGCTCTTCCCTATTGGGGCTACACACGACCAGAAATCGCACAGAAAATCGGCTCAGTTTAATAAGCTGTGGCATTTTTACACATGCACACGACGTATTCACGTTGTATTTTTCTGCAAATACTACTTCGTTACATCATACACTCTACGTGTTTGTAATAGTAATTTTGAAACTCTTAAAAGTTTGATGTGATAACTTGTGTATGTCTTGATATATTGATTAAATATAAATATCTGAACTCATTTCCTTATTTCTTGTATAGGACATTTTTCATCCTGTAAAAGCTTGCTTCAAATTGGGCGGTAGGTTCTCCAATATGGTCCTATAATATATGATAACCAGGCATAATTATAGCAAACAAAACTGATAGTTTAATACATTTTAAAAATCATCACCAACGGGATCATAGAGGTTAAAAAGTCTGAAAATATTTAAGAACTACGTTTCAAACAGTCAGTTTAACTGCTCTAGCTTCGTTACATTATTTAACACTTATTGACTGGAACGGAGGGAAACAGAATGTTTTGTAGATACAAAAAGTGAACCCGAGGGAAACATTGCTAGTCGAGAGTCTACAAAACATACTGTTTCCCGAAGGTCCCAGTCAGTAAGCATTTTATTACAAAGAAAACAAACTGAATAATAAAAGAAACGAAAAGGCCATAAATAACGATTTTTGATTATTTACCGGTGAAAAAAGTAATGGCCACCACTCGGATCTGAAGCAACTTGTAGCGAATCCAACGCAGTTGAATTATACGTCTTATTTTGTATCGGTTGCTTACGTGCATTTTGATATTGTCCAGTTCAATCTTATTAGCGCCTAAGTAAAAAGTACCTGTCATTCTGTCAAGTATTAAATTAGTAATCAAGTTACTTCTGAAGAAAAGTAATTTGTAATAATTACCTATAAGTAATTTAATATGTATATTTGATGTTTTAGAGATTTGCCAAATGGTAATTATAATATACTACACAAAAATGGCGCAAAATCTACGTTGATGTATTGTCAGATGACGTCACTTGAAGGCTGTGCAGGTGGAGGTTGGACCATGGCGATGAAAATTGATGGGAGTGAGGTACTACCAGTGTGCTCCATATATATCTGGAGTGAGAAGTCGAGTCCAGCTGAAAAGTGAAGCCAGCTTCGTGTTAATTAACCGCGCAGACAAAAAACAATAGAAAGGGACGGGAACTGACGTCCAGTTGCTTCTTTAATTTCCGCCATCTTGGCAAGGAGTGTGCCGAAATTTGGTAATCGTTCCATGTTTCGCGCACCAATATAGTAAACGTTATGTAATGGATGTTATATAGTGTACTGAAAAGTTAACTGGATACCTCCATACACCAAGGGTGGGTTGACTACAAAATATTTGTAGTTCGCTATAACTAAAGCTACTTCAAAAATATGTAGTCAGCTACAACTATATACTACTACTTTTGAACAAAGGTATAGTTCGCTACTGACTACAGCTACTGCTTAAAAAATGTAGCAAACTATTTCGCTACACTATATTTTTTAGTTTTACTGTATTTGGAGCATCTACTAACTCAAGCTGCAATGTATAACCTATAACAAATCGACTTACGAGTAGCAACAGTAAACACAAAGCAACATTTTTGTAAGCACTACGTACACTCTTCGGGAGTGCAAATAATTGACTATTGAGGATTGATTTTAAGCAAACCGTGTCTCAATATCATGCTATTCTATCAAGTTGCTAACAATTTAAAAAAGTAGCGAATAGCGATTCGCTGTTTGAAAAGTAGTCAACTACTTGGCTACTTTTAGGCAAAATGTAGTTCGCTATAATTACAGCTACTGTTTTAAAAAAGTAGTCAAAAACTACTGGCTACTTGAAAATTGTAGTTCGCTACAGTAGCGAACTACAACTACTTCGCTACTACCCACCCTTGCCATACACATATATACACACCCTAACCCTAACCTTAAACCTAACCCCAACCTTAACCTAACTCCTAACCCTAATACCTAACCCTAACCTATATTGGTGCGCGAAACATGGAACGATAACATTTGACTTCGATTTAAAGACTAATATTATGACGTTATTTAATATTTTGATTTTTACAACGCGTGACCTCTAAGACTTGGACTTTTTTGCCATAGTAGCCCTTACCTTTTACACATAATTTTTAAACCTTTTATCAAGAGGATGTAAGAAATCAATCATGCATAAAATCAGTCATGCGTGTGATAAATAGTATGCGTGAACAACCTCGTACCCAGGAAGGCTACTCAAAAATTCACTTTTCAGAATAATTTTGCATGTGATAGAGATACCAGAAGACCCGGAAAAAATCAACATTATTTAAATAGGACTTTTCTTCATTTCAACAGACAACATTTGACTACAATTCCACCTACTGGACAGACAGAACTGGTTATCTTACCATTCACGGTAGGTTTGGCTTTGATAATGTCGAAACCAAAATGCCCAGCTACTGGAGTGCTTCATTTAAAGAGATATGTATTGGAATGAAAGTCGGCAATGATCTACGATTCTTGATGATACCATACGCTGGCGAATCGCTGCGTGATTTGATTGCTGAAGACAAATTTCTCGCTACCAATGTTGGCCGTGAAAAATTGAAATCATTGATTGCGAACTCATCTCTGCAATCAACATGCCACAAGGAGGGTTTCAATATGTATGATCCTGATACAAAGCACGTTATTGCTCGCATTGGCATTGTTGGCGACAACCAGGCAAGTATTTTTTATTTTTATTTTTATTATTATACGCCCGTAAAAAATATCAAGTTATTTACATTTATTTTTCTATAGTGTTTTGGATAGGCTAGGAGCCTTCTAGAAACCTACTAGGCTTTTTAATTAAGACCCCTATAGACTATACTTACATTATTTCATTCTATTTAGTCAGTTCGAATAATATATTAGATTGTTATGTGAAGAAAAAGAAAGACTAATTTTTGTCTCTTTAAAACTCAAAACTATATTTGTTTTTCTATGTCCCAGCCAAGTAGAAGGGTTTTTGTAGGAAATTTCGAGCGAAAACTAGAGTCAAACCAGCGGCCCTGCATGCGACTCCATTGCGGTGCTCTGATCACTGAGCTACAGAGTCCAGTTGCCGAGAGAGACCTTAAGATTGACGTTTACGGCAAACGTCAAACCGCTGGCGAGGTTTTTGATTTTACAACTCTATTATAATAGCTTTTACACCAGTTTTGAAATATGTTAAACTTATTAAACTTGTGCTCTTTAGCAATGATTTAAGAAAGCAAATTAACCACAAGTCATGCCATTCACCAAAGCAGTAAATTAAGATTTGGCGTTTGAAGTTGACGTTTGGCGTATAAAATATAAATTTCATGCTTGAACTGCTACGAGGGCTTGTAGTCATTAAAGCATGAAATTTATACGCCAAACGTCAACTTCAAACGCCAAATCTTAATT